CTCTTAAGCATGAGAGAAAGGGGTTTTGCTTGTGATCAAATAACATTAACCACAATGATCCACATTTATAGCAAGGCTGACGAACTTAGTCTGGCCAAACAAACTTTTGAAGAGCTCAAACTGCTCGAGGAACCGTTGGATCGAAGATCGTATGATGCGATGATTATGGCATTTATCCGAGCTGGGATGCCCGAGGAAGGTGAGAACATTCTCAAAGAAATGGATGAGAAAGACATATATGCAGGAAGTGAAGTTTACAAGGCTTTGTTAAGAGCGTACTCGATGGCTAGCAATGCCGAAGGAGCTCAAAGGGTGTTCGATGCCATTCAGTTGGCTGCTATTCCTCCTGATGATAAGTTATGTGGTCTCCTGATCAATGCGTATTTGATGGCAGACCAAAGCCAAAAGGCACAAATTGCTTTTGACAATATGAGGAGGGCTGGCCTTGAACCTAGTGATAAATGCATAGCGTTGGTATTAAGTGCATATGAAAAGGAGAACAGGCTGAACGCTGCGTTGGAACTTCTCATAGATTTGGAGAAGGAGAAGCTCGTGGTTGGGAAGGAAGCTTCAGAAGTACTGGCAGCCTGGCTTAAAAGACTAGGGGTGGTAGAAGAGGTAGAACTTGTCTTGAGAGAATACGCTGTGAAAGAAGCGAGTGGATAAGGTACGAACAACTCAAGCCCACTACTAGTAGAAATTGTCCGCCTTGGCCTGTTATGTATTGCCGTCAGCCTCACAGTTTTAGAACGCGTCTACTAGGGAGATGTTTCCACACAGCTGTAAGGAGTGCTTCGTTCCCCTCTCCAATCCATGTGGGATCTCACAATCCACTCCATTGGGGCCTAGCGTCCTCGCTGGCACACCACCCGGTGTCTGGCTCTGATACCTTTGTAACAGCCCAAGCCCACTGCTAGCAGAAATTGTTCGTTTTGGCATGTTACGTATCACCGTCAGCCTCACAGTTTTAAAACGCGTCTATTAGGGATATGTTTCCACAACCTTGTAAGGAGTGTTTCGTTTCCCTCTCCAACTGATGTGAGATGTTACAGGATAAGGTACGAGCACTTCCTTGGATGCAAAGTTCACTTTTCCCATTGAATTGAAGTATAAAGAACACAAATGTCTGCTTCATTTCTGCTTTTAAGGGTAGTGGTTGCATAATTTTCAAATAGAAATAGATGAGAAAAGAGTTTTACAAGCTTGTTATTGAAACCTTCATGATGATCAAAACATGATATAAGTAAGCTGAAGTTTTAACTTATTGATCAGCCAGGAAGAACACTGAGATTATTAGCAGTCCAATCACGAGTTAGGCTCGTTTAGGGACGTAGGGAAATAGCGAGGCACCAATGCGTTGCATCGTGGAGAGTTGTTTTTGGACAATCTGTTGATCAATGCTGCCCATGGATGGGAAATTGTTGCTTCTAATTTGACAGAATTCCAATGGAGACTGCAACTTTGCCGGCGAAGCTTGCTCCACAGGATCGAGAAGCAGTGAAAGATCTGATGCAGCAGAAGGCAAAGAAGGGCAATCTAATGGAAGGTTTACAATTGAGGGTATTGTTGGCTTGACCAGATCTTGTGGCTGTGCCTGTGGATGTGGTGCGGTTCTTGAAAGCTCAGATGCTGCTAGGTACGCTTGCAAGTATGAGAGCTCTACTTGCAACCTCGCAGCCTAAAAAATAATGTATGGCACTCGAATTAGTTTACATTTTCGAAAGCCAAATTGTTATCGAATAGAGCTTCAGCTAATTTTGTTTTACCTGTTGTTGAAGGGCAAAGATATGAGCAACACAACCAAAAACTGGCTCTCTAACACGAGCTTGTGCCTCGTAGCATATGGTTATAGCTGCATCGAGGCGCTTGTGTTCAGGAATATGCAATAGCAGCTTCGACACATTACTAGCTCCGAACACTTTGTGCACGGCTGCAAAATGAGTCGTGCCTTGTTCAGAGTCAAAGTAAGGTGCAAATATACACTCCGGTGTACACTTCCTTCGCAGAAACTTGCACGCCCCACACGGTCCACCGCTGCCATTGCTGCTACTACCACCATTGCCCTCCTTGCAACCTCCACCGCCGTGCCTCGAGCTCATCTCGGCCTTGCTTTCTTGCCGTTCTTTCATCAGAAGCTAAGCAAGGCTTACTGGAAGAACAAGACAAGTATGGATTTATATATATATATATGGAGCTGACTTTGAGGTTTGTGGATCACAAGGTATGTAACACTTTCTTTTACTCTATCTCTTAGTTGTTTGATGGGATTTGCAAATTAGAAGGAAATGTAGGTTTTGGAAGATTGAAACATAGGTCCATTTTTGTAATAATATTAATGAATTAATAATATTATGAAAATTCCGCCACCCTCCATGTTTTTAAAGCTACGTGGAGTGGAGGATACGAGGACCGCCAATAAATCTTTTTAAAATGTTTTTAAAGCTAATTAATGAAAAAAAAAAGTATAGAAAATATGAACCTACTTGTAAAATAAATTTGTGTTGACAACGAGGTGGATTATAGGGATAATTGTTTATTATTATTTATGTATTTATTTATCTTATTCAATTTGAGATTTCTCTTCCACAACTAGTAATGGAATTCATTTTAAAATAATTTATGAAGAAATTCATACTGTCTCTAAATAATGTTTTTAGCTTAGACAAGTGTTAATAATATAATGGATACAATATTATCAAATATGAAATTTTGATCATAAATGGAGTATGCTTGTAGACGAAAGTATCTGCAACAACAGTTTTTATTACGGGACAGCTCATGATTGGGTAGACCTCATACAATAACTGTCCTAGCTCTATCGTATCTTTTGTTTCATTTCTTCTGGAACAATCACAAATCCTAGCTTTATCGTATCTTTTGTTTCATTTCCTTTTTTTATTATGGATCTACTACCAGAAACTCAATGTGTAATCTTGACATTCAATGTGTATTCCTGAATAATCTCATTTTTCAATTATTCAACCATTTCATTTTACCAAGTTCAATGTTAGTCAGATTAGTCAACATTTCTATGTTTCGATGCAACAACAAGATGTTATTTGTAACAAGTAGTTTTGTTGGTTGGTTAATTGGTCACATTTTATTCATGAAATGGGTTGGGTTGATATTAGTCTGGATACAGCAAAATAATTCTATTAGATCTAATAATTACCTTGTGTAGTTTGTAAATTGATTGTAGAATTTATCACGTGGAATAGAAATATTTTTAAGGTTAAATTAATTCTTTTAAAAATATCCTCTAGTTTGTATTTTCTCTCTAAAGTATCCCTAAATTTAATAATACCAAACTTTCAAAAAGTTTAAAAAATAATTATAAATGAGAATCTAAAAGTATTTCTCCTTGAATTTTCAAAATTTTAAATTTCATTAATGTTCTGAAATTTTTTTAAAAATTTCAAAAATAAAACTTCAAAATTATTTTAAAAAGTTGGAAAGATATTTTTTAAACATTTTTTAAAAAAGAAAATTAAGGGTACTTTTTCAAGTTTTTTAAACACTGAAGAGTATGATTTGCCTTCAAAATTAAATTTTTAAAATTTCTTTCTTAAAAAATAAGAATATATTTTTAAATCCTGTACAAAATTATAAATATATTTTTTAATTTAGCTCATTTTATAAGAGTAAAATATTAAGACACTGAAAACAAATTAGCTGAAATATGCATTAACAGGTAGTACAAATGGCATCTTGCGACTCTAAAAAGTCTAAAATGTAAAATTAAAAATTATTAGAAAGCGTGGAAAAAGAAGAATCTAGAGAGGGAGAGGGAAGAAAAATGAAGAGGGCAAGAAATAATTAAAAATATATATTATTTTTGGTGTGTACAGAAAATGCTGCTTGAATTATGCAATATCTTAGAAGTTTTCTTGAGCTTATTAGTAAAAGATTTAGCCTCGAGATTACCAAAATTATGGCCTACTACCACTATCATTACTCACCAAAATTTTCAATCTTCAATAAAACTATGTATTAAAAATTACAACTTGACATCAAATCTTCGAAAAAAAATGCCCTATACACTCTACGCTGTCCTTAAAACTTTTTTTAATTAATATTCTAGTGCTTATTAATTACTATTGAATATTTTTATTTCATTTAACATGAGACTTTAAGTAACTTATTTTCAACTTCAATACTAAATTTATTGCAGGTAGCTTCAACTCTAAGTTAGCCATGGAAAGTTCAGTGGCAAAGATGTAAATATATTGCAACACCAAAAATAATTTATACCCCTAAATTTGTTGTGAGTAAATCTTTCATGCATCTATTCTTCCATATGATTGATGCATGGACGACTTTCAAAGCAAATCCAAATTGAGAGTCTAAATTGATTCAGTTATAAAAGTTTATAAGTTTAGTCGGTAAAATCAGAAGTCTCACATTATGTTTATTCAAACGGTAACAATTTAGGGTATGAATTTATGTTTAGGGTTGTAATCGATACGAGCTCTATAGCTTAGGGGTATAAATTGATACTATTTCTAAGATTTATGAACGTCGATCAAAAATGAAGAGTCAAAATTGTTATTTTTAAAAGTAAAACAACTAAAAAAAAGCTATCCCTAACTACTCTTGGGTATCATGGAAAGTTAATAAACTTGGACTGCCTTTTTTAATCAATTTTGATGCATCTTTTTCTTATTTAAGACAATATTGTTGGAAGTCAAATAAGACAATAATTGGTGGAAAGAGGGAAAAGTCCAAAGGGCTATGAAATGGGCAAATGATTTAAGAAAATGAAGGGTTGTTCATATGCAGTTTTCACTAACACATGGCCATTAAATTATTGTATCTTATACGATTTACCCGATTTGGCTGCATATTAATGGGCCTTTTCTGGCCCAGAAGTTAAATCTCGTACTTTGATTGGGCTTTAAGCCCACCAAGCCCAGAAAAGAGATTTGAGCCCAGCGAAAATTTTGAACTTCCAGGTTTAGAAACAAATCGTCCAAACATGAAGCAAATTTGTAATTCAACCCTAACAAAAACAAGACAAAACTTCATCCATATCAAATCTTTTGTCAATATTTTGCAGAGAAAATGCTAAAATATCAACAAACAAACAAACCAGGATCAAATTATGTACTATAAACCAACCTTAAGCCAGCTGATGCAACTGGGGTTCCATTCAAAGGCGCACCATCAGCAGGCCACTTGACCTGCATACTCGAGGCTGGATAGGTCTGCAAAAAAGGAAACCATTTAACCACAAACCCGACCCGACGAAGCTTCGCTGGCCATAGCCAAAGCCAAGGTTACAAAGAAATTCATTCGCCTCAACCCAGAGAGAAATATGTCTCACCAGCTTCCTCTCAGTTTACAGCCAGCCTCCCAAACCCGACGACGAAGCTGGCCATCGGGCGGGTAAAACTCTGGCTTACGTTCTGCTAAAAGGCTGTGCAGTATGAACTGATTCAGATTTTCTTTTATAATCAGCCAAAAAACCAGAGACAAATTTATCCTATGCACTAAACAAAACCTCAGAAAAGTGCCCAAAACAGCAACAATATCTGACCTCATAAAATGAGAAGCCAACATTCAAGGGGAAGCATGGAAGAGTCTTCTTTACATCATGAACATAAACAAAGTGTTCATAATTCTGAAGAACATTTTCTAAATAAAAGTAAAATCTCAACACATCACAGATCTCTCTCACCTCGGAGCAGTCAGAGATTCGTACAGATAGCAGTTTATACATCCTGCATCTAAAACAGGCCTGTCATGAAGCATAGGCAAACCGAGCAAATCGAGCATCTCGAGTTATCAGTCATAGGAATAGACAGAGCAGAGAGACCATATCTAGAAGAGCTAAAAGAGAGAAAAGAATGAAAAAAAATCTCGACGTATCCGAATAAGTAACGGAACAAGATTGGATAGAAATGGTCAGTGGTATCAAAAAAATTTGAAGGCCCAGACCAGAGTAACAAATACTGTTGAGTAGAGTTTGTATAGAGGAGTCAGTTAGCCAAACTTTACAAAAAATACATTGAACAAGGATGCCAAAATGCTCACTTGAGGCTTCAATCTCCTCTGTACATAATTTACAGCCCCCCATCCTGATTCCAGCAGTGGGGATGTGCAAGTGAGAGATCCGTAAGCTCGTGACTATACTAGAGAAGATCACGTGGCCCTTCGAGAGCCTAAACGATCTCCCCGTGCTTAAATCCAGTATCTCCACAATCTGCATTAGAGTCCAGATCACAAGGAGAATCGTACCATTTAGGGTTCTCTGGGTAAAATCCGTCAACATGTATACCAACAAGACCTACATCTGCTACCATGCTTTCGTCGTGTCTCATGGGCTTGATTAGTTTTGTATCCTCGCAGCCAAGAATGCTTTTATCGTTAAAGTCGGTGCATTTAAACCATCTTTCGGGTTTGCAAGGCTCGCTCGTCAGTTCTTTCTGATTTCTACAGTCTGCCCCCATATGGTCCTCCCAAGGAACGACATCTCGAAGGGAGTGACCAAAACTGTCCACATCGTCCTCAATCAATTCCCCATCTTTGGCATCGCCATATAAACGTTCATGATGGTGATCGGTCCAATGAGCCAAATCATTCTCCCCATCTAAAACGTCGTCTGAATGTGGCTTATCTGCAAGCAGCTCGATTGGCTCCAACTTCTCCTCCCTTGTACTCCTAAGCTTACTTAAAACATTGAACAAATCGCGAGATACCGAACCCAGTAGCTCGTGTGGGACCTTGGTAAGTTTCCCTTCTAACAAGTCAAGCTCATTTCTCACCTCATGCAACTGCTGCAAGATAGAAAGCTGCAGATTTCCTTCATCCTTCCCCATCAATCTAAATCCTTCATTTTCCATGTCATCGTTCACCCCATACACTGTATCGTGATCCATTAACAGGCCACCTTTGTGTCCGATCACACGATGCATAATTCTCGCATTTCCATCCAGCGGCCCGGGTTCATGCCCTGAATGCACAGCATACAACTTGAACACAGCCATACCCTCATCCTGATACACAAATGTCTTATCCTTCTCATTGTAATTGGTAATGGGCACAATGGCCCGGATACGAAATCCACACCCGCATCGCTTCGATGCATATGGCTCTCTTTTCAGAACCTTCGACTTCTTCGTAGCAGGTTCCCCTGCCCTATGACAAGCATAATCCTTAACCTCCGCCATGAAAGGCTTATACCTAATATACTTCTGCCTAATGCAAAGCACCACCTTATGCTTAGCAGCCAATTGCTGAAGCTTGTGGGGCACTTCATTTGCAGGCACCTCAAGAGTATCCGTATACTCGAACCTGCGTCGTTTACTCCTCGAGCCCGACGCGGAGGATGCCGAATTACAAACAGGGCAAGCAGCAACACAAACCCTAATGTAACTCTCAGGAATCCCATAAAATTTAGCACCTACAGTCCAAACCTGCTTAATTCTCTCTATGGTTTCTTTCAACCCTAAATGTTTCAAATCCGTATCTCCATGAAAACTCGTAACAATTTCCTGCCATTGACTAATATGCGAAACGAATTGCTGAGTATTGTTCTTGAAACAGAGAAATTCGTTACCGTTTTCGTCGACCGTCGCCGTGAGCTTGTCCTGGATTCTCTTCCATGCCGTCAGGTACGCAGTGTCCTCGTTCCGGTCCTTCCACACGGTCCGCCACGACTTGAGAACAGAACGCGATGTAGCAGCGCGTATCTCACTCGGCGTCGCGAGGCGGTGCTCGATAATGCAACGGATCATCAGCGAGTGCGACTCAGGATTAAAGGTATAAAACTGAGTCGATATATGCGGCTCCGGCGATATACAGAGAGGCGGTTCATGAAGATTTTGGGAAGTCGATGTAGGGTTCTGAGCGAGTTGACTCATTCGAGTTGAATGAGTCGGCGAATCGTCAGAGGACGAGTGGCTAGGGGACGACGGAGACGGCGACCGGAAGAGCACGATTTCCGGCAACGAGAACGGCGGCTCATCATGGTGCGAATCCGGAATGGACGCCTGAGATTCAATAATCTGGTTCGCGAGTGGGTCCAGATCATCGTGTAGACGATGATGATGGAAGAGATCCTCCTCAATTTTACTCGGATTCATCTGGAGGAAAAAAAAATGGAACTGTTCTTCTGCTGCTGCTATCGCTTCTCTAATCTTTGGCTTGTTCTTCTGACATTTTTGGCGGAACTCAGCTTTCTTTCTCTCCTCTTCTCACAGTGACTTTCTTCCTTCCCTTTCTTCTCTTCCCTTTTCTTTCCCTCTCTATTTCTTCAGTCTCATTGTTTTAGTGTACAATACTTATTTCGCATTTTTTTTTGGTTCATATTGATTTGGATTCTATTTATCTCTTTTTTTTTCTTCTAAGATAATTAAATTAATTAAAAAATTAGGTTTAATCACGTAATTTTGGTTAGTGCCCTTCTTACTCTCAACTCAAACTCGAACTCGGAAATCCCTAAATATGGTCGATATTTAGTTAGTTCGGGTCACTTTTTCTCCATCGCTCCCACGTGATATTGAATTCAGCTACAATTTTAAGTTTTCAAGTGTACGAGACAAACATTTTGAAATAAATTATATCAAATTAATTTAAACATAATTTGATTAATAAAAATAATATATAAATAAATAAATAAAAGGTTGAATCTTATAAAAATTATCCCAATTTATTTTAAATGTAAAACTAGCAAATCTAATTTAAAAAATGTTGTTATTAAATAATAATTATATTTAATATATTTCTATCATATTCAAAAATTAAAAAATTAGATCTTCAAGTTTTAAAATACTAAATATGAATCAAATAGATTTTTAACCACCTATTAATATATATTTTATTTTAATTTGTAACCTAAATAAATAAACAAATAAAAATTGAATGACTAAATTTATATTTTAATTAAAAAGATAACCTTGTTTTAAATTAAAAAATGAATTTTAAAAAATGTTGCGATTTGTTGGACCCTAGAAGCCATGGGTACAATGCACGCCGTTCTGTCCAGCGAATATAATGACCAAACAGTATTATCACTGTTTTTCACTCCTAATTTCTTTTTTTAGTATAATAATTAAATTATTATTAATAATTTGATTTAATAAAAAAAAAATATTTATTTAAAATCCATGTGATAAAATTATTGGAAGCACGTGTTATGAATTTATATAAAAATTTTATTTATATCTCACGAAATATAATTATTTGATTCTTAGACATCTTATTATTTATTTCAACCGAACGTCATATATAATACAATTATTTATAGAAGGACAAAATAAAGATATTAATTCTAAAAATAAATAAATAAAACATGTGCAGTAGTGGCCATCTTCTTTGGTGTGGGCATTTTGTGTGTAATTGGGAATAAGGTACTTCAGCCAATGGGCTATGGCTCTTTGATTTGACATTTCCCTTTTGTTTGGTTATGAATTTAATTGTTATTTCAATACTTCCGAGCTCGAAATGAACGATTTTTATCGTATATTTGAACTTGGGCCTGAGCAGAGATTGGGCCGGCAAATAAATCTATTTGGGCCTTTTGCTCGTGGGCCAAACCAATTAAAGCCCATCAACTAAATTTTACAAACGCCCCCCTAATCATCTAGTTGGGTCATCAAATTTTTATTTAAACCCGTCTATTTAGTCCATCAATTTTCCTTTATTTATTTTTTAAAATTTAAAATAATTACACTACGTAAAATTGAATTTTATTTTTAATGAAACCCTAAATTTTAAAATATATTTAATTGGTCAATTATTTATTTGCCAAAAAAATTTAAAATTTTGAATTCAAAATACCCAAATAATTGAAAATTTTAAGGGAAAAAAAGGGTGTTATTTTCGGGCTATATTTCCAGGTCAGATACGGCTGAATTAATGAATAAAGAATAATTCGGGAAGCTGACCGACACGGTTCAAAAGGCTCCCACTCTTTTCTTGCCTAAAAATATAATATTGCCCATTTCCAGCTAGTAATTGTCTGTCGCTAGAAGAGAAAATTACAAAATTAAATAAATTCGGTGTCATTCTAATCCCACCTTTCAATTTCACAATATTATATTTATATATTATTTATTTTTTACTATTCACATAAATATTCAAAATTTTCCAACTCTTTTTTTTTAAATATTGTATATTCGTAAATTTAAAATTATATTTATATATAAAAAATTCCTAAATTTTTTTTCAATTTCTAATAATTAACGTATATTAGAGATAAAAATATAAATTTTATTCCTATATAAAATAATTTACAAAAAAAAAAATCATATGGTTGGTCCAAGTTAGCTATGAGTTAAGTGACCAACCAGCCTTTTCTCGAACGAACAAAATAATAACACTAATAATACTCACTATTAATTTTTTAAACAAAAAAATAAATCTAAGCTTTTTTTTTAATTATTATTACTTTTATTATTAACATTTCCCAACGGCTCTCAAACACCGAGCACATGGTATCTTATAATTATTTTTTTCCTTTCGGATTAGTTTTAGAGAATTCAAAATCCCAGTCAAAAGTAGAAATAAAAACAATAATCATGGCATTTTAGAGTAATAATAATAATAATAATAATAATAATTATTAGTATAAAGGAGTTCAAAATAATATTAACCTTTATACTTACTCCAACTTAGCTGGTTTTTTTTTAATACTATATTTTAGCATATAATTTTTTCTTAAAAATA